TCTCTCTCTCTCTCTCTCTCTCTCTCTCTCTCTCTCTCTCGCTGCCTCGCCCTACTGCCCATTATCATGAAATGTCTCGTGTCACAGGAAATAAACATGTGAGTACATACCCCATATTGCTCCAAACTGTCAATTCCTGTTAATTCCTCAGTGAAATGCACTCCGTGATGAATTGAAGTGCTGAATGATGTTCAGAGACGTTGGAAACTCCTGCATGAAGATGTTCACCTGAAAAATAAATAAACGATTGTAAATATAACGATTTGTTGAGGAGAATGAAATAAATTGAATTAATTTCGAATGAATAATGCGTCTAATGTAAAATAATTACAATTTGTAATGAATGAAAAAAGATGTTACTTGAGGCTATTGAGTTTATTATTAAAGTGTTTATTCTTGTTATTTTCGTTATCAGTGAACTAGTGTACTCGGGCACCTCCAATTAGATCGGTTCAATGTATTATCTTACAACGAATGCAAAACCAAGGGAAACTGTAATTCTATTGTAAAAGGTGTAATGCCATACAAAAGGAAATAAATCATTCGAGAATGAAAAAAAAACACTGATGAAAGAAAATTGAAATTTCCTGGAATGTTGAGGAGTAATTTTCAGGGGAGTTATGGTGAATCCGATTCAGGGGAACTGAATTATGAAATTTCAGGGTTCACGAAAAAATCAATGAAATTCAACATTTCTTAGCAGTAAGAGACGAAAATTCATCAACTCACTTGAATGTTCAATGAAAATATGAATGTTTAGTGCCAAATTACGATGAATTGTTGATTAATTGAAAATTAAAAAATATATTTACCGAAATTTTCTTGAATTTCAATCATTTTCACTGATTTTTCCATTAAATTTTTAATGTTCAATGACAAAATTCCTTGACATTCCCGTAAAACTATAGTCTGATTAGAATTTCCAAGATGTGTACCGGAAATTTCAGCCAAAAATGTTCAAGTGTATTTTCTCTCTAATGAAAGCAAGAACTTGTTGTCAAATTCGAAGAATAAAAATAGAAACAAATAAGCGTACCCCGCAAAGAGGTTCTCGCATCGAAAAAGAAAAATCCTCCCTGCAAAAAAAAAAATTGGAGCAGTAGCAACTGTCGTTCCCTGAACTCGCCTGACAGCCCATCACACCAAAACAGCCTCGAGTCTTTATTTTTATTTTCACAATCGATTTTTAACCACCGAGATAAGTTAATATGACTAAAAAAAATAATAATAAGAAAATAAATAAGAATTTCTTGGGAATTTAATCCACGATTATCCAATAAGGGCTCAAGAATTTTCTCAATTCCCTTATTCCCCTCTGGAGAATCACACGAGTAAATAAAGAGCAGTGGAATAAGTGCGGAAGAGGGTGGAGGGGGGAGGGGGTGCCAGAGAAGGTAGTTCATAACACAGGTAGGGGATTTACCGAATCCGACAAATCTCTCTTTGATCCTATCTTGGATGCTGACAAGTGCAACGTGTTGGAACTCTTTATATTGTCATTGCCGAGCGTTGATTCACAGAATGATACAGAGCGTTGGTTTGTTGGAAAAAACTGGGCCAGGATTCTTTCACCTTTCATACAGACCGTGAAATGACCAAGAGATTTTTATTCGTCCTTTTTATTCAGTTGGTCTTTATGCGGTCGGATTAGGACCTTTTTAGGAGTTTTTTTTTATTCAATTCAATATTCGCTGCGGTGATCGGAGAGGGGACCACCAAACGTGTAGTTAATTCGTGATGAAGAGAAATAATTGAATAATTGAATTATTTCTCTAAAGATGATGTCTATTTCCAATTGAAAAGCAGATTTGGGACAACATTGTCCAGTGGGGTCTAGGAGTCTCCCCTGGTTCAAACATCATCCTTAAAAGCATTCTAGAGCAGAGTTTATTGAAGGCCATGAGTTCTATCATTCCAGAAACCGGGAAACACAATCCAGAATGTAAAAACAATACAATTTGCCTCAGTCGTTTTCAAAAGTAAATAGAAAACTTTTCAATTCGTAAAATTCAGCGGAATAGGTTTTTTTTCTTATTAAGTTGAGGTTTCAAATGAAAAATGCCAAACCGTTGTTATCAATGTAAAAAAATTGTTAATTATTCAAAAAATACTGAGCCACATGTATGCAAATCATCCACGAACCTAGATGTATTGTTATTTCCCCCAAAACCTACCCTCGAAACTTTGAGAGTGAGTGGGAAGCGTTCGTTAAACCGATTTGCACATCGAATGCACTCTCGATTCCTGGGCAACATCGGATAGTTTCACAGGCAGCTTGCTCTCTCCATTTTCACTTACCCTCTGAAAAACCTCTGTAACTCACACGGCGGTAGGTAGCTCGCATTTTCTCATGGACCAATGTAACTCAATATTTTTAAAAACGTCAGATCGTCAAACGTCACTCCTTTCCGGTGCCCTAGAATCCGTCAGAACTCTCTCTCTCTCTCTCTCTATTTTCTCTTCCTCTCCCCGTCAAATGTTATTTGAAAGATCTTTAGCATGTTTGACGTTGGAAATTCACCTGGCGCAATTAATTTTTGAGAATTGTCGGAGAGTCGATAAAATTAGTGAACTGATTAATGAACTTTCTTAACATATTTGAGAAATTGGTGACTCTACTTGGGAAACTTGACTAAACTGAATTTTTCTATGTGGTCTTTGTTAGGGAGGAAAATTTATGGTTTTTAACGGTCGTTTTTTGGTGTATTTTAACATTCTCGACCGAACAAATTGATTCGCTTGAAAATTCAAATGATGAGAAAATTTAATTCAGGTCTTCATTATTTTGCCTGAACTCTACACTAAGAAAAAAAATTTTTTCAGAGAAGTATTTATTTTTTCAATACCGTATTTCTTCAGTCGAGTCATTTCCAGGCAAAATTAGATTTCAATTACGACAATTATATTGCCCTAGAAGAGGATCGTGCTAATTAAGACCTTCAGTGAACATTAAAAAATTAATCGAAATACTTTCGCAAATAATTCATCAATTTCATTTCTTATAGTACACATGGTCTCATGTTTATAATAAGAAATGTGTATGCACATTGAACTGTAATTGTTCAGAAATGCTTGAATAAAAAAAAATGTCATTTCATCGTTTGGACGCTCTTTCAATCGTCATTCGTCACACTTTTTTGGTGTTCCAATCAATCAGGGTTCTCTCTTTTTCTCCTTCTCCATCTCCTCCCCGCCAAACGTTATTAGATAGATATTGAGGAGGTTTAACGTTCGAAATTCACCGGGGCGCCATTAACCGTTTTAATAAATTTGGCGTGAGCTTAAGCTGGAACAACAGCGTCAGGGGGATATGAATTAAGAGTGAAAAAGGAGAGATGAGGCACCAGCCCGAAGGTATATACGTCGGAGGCTTGGATAAACATCTCGAATTAGGCACACTGAATACTTTTTCATCCATCTTTCTCTCTCGCCCTCCCCCCTCCCAGCATCCACTATCCGGGATCGTCTTTACGGCTTCGGTATGCCGACGGCAACGGCCCACAAGCCCTCTCATTGACGAACCATGGAAATATATCAGCGCGTGCCCAAATAACGTATTAATTTATGTATCACCCGGGGGAAACTTAAATCATCGGGTTTTTTCGCCCTGAGATGGTTTAAATTGTATCTCGTGTCATATGCAAACGATAATGGACGGCAGTCTGAGGGAAATATTTGACGTGTTTGTTCAGCCGCGAGTTCTCTAAATCTTTTGTCCCGAAATGTGAAAAAGATCTTCAGAGGTTTCTGGGAGGGATTGGGGAAGTTTCTGGGATTTTTGGAAAATTGTGCTGTTGGAGCATGAGTTTATTCATTTCTTCAGTATATTTTGAGGCATTCGGGAAGATTAACATTTTCTTCGAGTGCATGGTATGCAAAAATTTTATTACCAATCTCTGAATTAGTAATGCCGCGAGACGCGAGAGGAACGAGACGAGACGAGACGAGACGAGAAAAAGTCTCTGATTCATGATTCACTAAATGGAAGCTTTTAATATTTTTAGTCATTTTCTCATCTTGTGACACGAAAAAAGCGATTTCTTGTGGAAAAAATCCTCACTTTATCATGAAATGTTCATGTTCAAGTCATGAACACTTCACCGAAATCTGACATTGCCTGACACGTTATCCGGAATTCTTATCTCAAGAAATTAATCCTCAAGACATGAGATATTTGGCGCAAAAAATTAGATTTGTGATATTATCACGATGTTTCTGTGTACTTAGATATCCTTCAGACTGTCTGTCTCGTCACTGCGATAGCCCTCACAAATAAATAGATTTACAATTAGTCGCCCTCATTACCTCGACAATTCATTTACAGAGTCCCCGCGTATTGTGGAGTACATCAGTTATTCTTCGTCAGCCACTCGCAAACAATTCACAAAGTTGATGAAGTGGAGGACCAAGTCCCCAGCTCGTCACCTCATCAAGCCATTTCTCTATTTTTTTTAAGGGTGTTCTAAAGCCCCCCCCCGACGTCTCGCGAGATTTGTCCAACGGTTAATACACCCGCAACCCCCGTTTAGTCGCGACGTGTCATTTGGTTGGAACACAGATCGGTTGTCTAAAAGACACGAAGCTACGGCCAAGACAAACCTTAAATGCTTGCTAACCAAACAGTCGGAATTAGCTGAGGCACCCAACAGGGTTTTCAAATTCTCACCCACCACAGACTCCCTTCAGACATCTATTCAACCGGAAGAGGGAAGAGAATCCTATAAAAGTGGGATTTTATATGCAGGAAGAGAAAAAAAATCGTCAAAACAATATCAATCGTAAATCTTAGATAAAAAATACTTCCATATACGGGAGCTTGACTAAATTATAAATTAAAAAATCGCAGATCTTCATTAGAGAAAAAAACAGCCCGTTCTGCCCCAGTAATTATCAACATATTGAGAAAATTTCAGAATCAGAATTAAAAAATCAATTTCATAATTGTCGAGTGAATTTCATATTTCGAGGAGCTTTTGTTTTATTTTTACAGTATTTTTAATGGGGCACAATAGGTTGTTCTTTTATAAATAATTCAATAATCCCAATAATTCCCAACATATTAAGGAAATTAATTTTCGAGCAGAATTTCAAAATCAATTGAATAATTTTCTGAATAAATTTCATACTTGTAGAATTAATTCTTGGATTTCTTAATTTTGACAGCCAGTGGGGTAAAATGGGTTGCTCTTGTCCAAACTTCATATGAAAATGCCTTTTTTTTGGATGAA